AACTCGTTGATTTTTTTATCATATTCTCTTTTTTCTCTTTTTTTATTGATATATATATATATATATATTTTTTTTTTTACATGGACAGTAGATAACTTATTAACACTTAATTGTGGGCGAGCAGTTTTTTTTTATCCCTCTGCATGTAATATTATGAAGTCCAATTGGTGTTGAGATAAAATTTTGCAAGTGAATATGATCTTTGTATTTCGTGAATTTTGAGTACTGAAGTAGTTTTTTCTTATTATTTTTGTTCGAGATTTGCCCGAGCCTCGTGTAGTCACGTTTGTGGCAGTCCCGCTCCCAAGCCAATACCGGGCTATGGTGAAAGTTTTGGGCCCATTTAGCCAGATTATTTTTGAACCAGATTATATTTTAAATGAATTTTTATTTGCTATCGTTTTTAATCAAATGTTATTACTTTAAATTTTATTTTTATTGAAACAATTTGGCGTAAAATCATCAAATTATTTATATTAATTTTTATAAATATATTAGTATTTTTCATTTTTAAAAAAATATTATAGTACGCAACTCTTGTTAGTTTCATTCCTAATTGCAATTATAATATTCCAAATTTCCCCTCTAAAAAGAGGAATTTTGGGTCTTGTGTTAGTTTTTAATCTTTTATATGTTAATTTTTCATTCCTATGTTTAGGTTTTTGGGCCGGTCTACTTCTCTATTGTTATAAGTGGTTCTTCATCAAAAGCTCCCTCTCAAGCTAATGGTTTCTATTCTACTTTCGAAGTTTGTTTGTTTAAATGTCATTCTTCAGTGGCAGTGGCACATGTTGACATGGGAAACAAACCAATGTTCGTGCATTGTTCTGTGATTTGTGTACTTTTTGATAATTAAATGTAATTTTGAAAATTGTAAAAGGTGTGGTTATCTTAAAAATGTTTCAAATTCAAACCATCATGGGATGACAAGTGGTCGAGCTAATGTAAATAGCAAAGGACTAAGAGGAAATGGGTTCAAACCTAAATCCTACGAATTTCTTTGTCAACCAAATGTAGTAGGGCCATGCGGTTGACTTATGAATAGTCGAGGTGCGCGAAATCTGGTCGGATACACGGACTTTCAAGACACACACCAAGTTTTTCGTCTCTCTAGGTAAGTACAACACATATACTTTGTCTACTTTGAATTTAATATGGCTTTACAATTGAATTATATCTATCCATATGCAAAACCTCGAAAAGGCTTGTTGGCTTCTTTTAATTATTTATTTTTCATTAGCAATTTACAATTGGTATGTTTCTCATTCATTCTACTCTTTGCACAAGCATATTTGAGAGGAAATTTTGTTTCTCATCACAAGAATTGAAGTTTCAAGATTTAGCCAAAGCGTAGCCCAGGATGCTACTATATTTGGTTTAGTATTACAATGAGTCCTATAGGCTATATACATTGGAAAAAGGCCTTTAAGTAGCTAGGCCCAACGAAAGAAGTGATAATCAAGTTTGTGACCTAAAACAGGCTTAAATAATGAACTAAGCTTAGCCCGAAAATAAAAATTCAGATAAGATAAGATAAAATAAATTAATTGGAATTTAGCCATTCTAGAACTCTCCTGCTCCAATAAAATTAGGTTGAATTACAAGTTTTGCTTCCAAAATAGTTGTTGTGTTGAATAGTTCTAGTGGTGTGATGCTTATGTGACATATTTATTGTAGCATTTAAAGATAACGCGGCAGTGGCAGGTTAATTTAGAACGATAAATAACATTAGTTTTGACAAAGATCTATTAGACACTAAATTGGAAGTTTAATAAGAACGGTTTAGAAATCTTGTTTAGAAATCTTTTAAACTACAGGGAGGTGTTAGATACAACTTTAAAAGTTTAAAAATTTATTAAAAACATTTTAAACTACAAAGATAAACCGTGGAAGCTTAATGAGTAAACTTGTAAATTAACCACAAACTTAGGGAATGTGGTCAATTTGGCTGGAGTTGATTTAGATTTTGCCTGTAACAGAATTTGGGAAAGCAAGGTTAATGTTAAATCCCGCATTTTTCTTATCCGTTTATTTACTTGAAACAGGAAGCTCAGAAGAACAGCTGGTTAAGAAAGTTGTCTTATTTTACATGAAAGTCTTATTTGGACATTTTTACAGCACATGTTCATCATCATTATAGAAGAAAATAAATGAATCTGGACAAATTCAATATGAGGATGGTTCCTTCCTACTCCGTGTAATTTTCATCCCTTTAGAAGAGTTTTCAGTGTAGAAGCCAAAGAGTCACGAGGGAAAAGCATGATTTTTGTCAAACGTAGTTCTAAATTCAAAACATGTTGCAAAAAGTTTGGTCGTTTTTCTAATAGTAGAAGCAATCAAGTACACCAGAAAAGTCAAAAAGTTGGGAAAGAATACGAAAAAACCAAACAATTTGTGAACAGTTGCATTCTTTTAGGTCTCTTTTAGACATTTGTCGAAGTAAGCATCTCCTCAAACGTATGATATTACCTACTTTAAACTTGAGTGGATATAAGAATTACGGAAGATCGTATGTGAGGATATTGCAGTTATTACCCTCTTGTCCTTTCAGTCCAATATTTTAGTCAACCTAGAGCAAGGTTCCATGTCTGGATTGGATGGTCCACATGAAGATTTTCAATTGTGCTATGCAAAGGGAAAAGAATGTGCACTTTTAATGGTGCCCCAAAGGTACCAAATTTCCCATAAATGGATGCATAATGTTTATCTCATGTGCACTCTCAATGGTGCGCATGAGGTCCTAAATTTTTCACGAATAAAGAATGGTGGAAATTTACATTTCAACAAATTTGTATCCAAAATACCCCAACTAGGATTTTCTACATGCAAAAATCTTGAGAGTGAGGACAATCATCATAGTCAACCAGCGAGCAATTTCAAGAAAGCTAGCTACCTCCTTTCCCCCTCGCTAGCTTAAACTGAGGAATAAGAATAGGAAAAGAAAAAACCTCCTAGCCCCAACTATGAAAAAGATTGAGAGGAGCCCGAACCGAACCAAGAACGAAAACGGATTCGATTCACTCTACATTCTCTCTTAAATAAAGCTTGCCCTCGAGCTTTTAATAGTCAAAGGTAGGTAGGCCAAGTCTTTCTCTATCCTTCTATTCCCGCCACAATCGTCGAATAGGTGGCAGCTGCTCTCTATTTACTTGTAGTTGAGTAAGGAACGGTAAGTAACCCAAAGATAATGAAAGAGATCTTTTTAGTGAAAGGGTATACATTAGGATCTTGGTACGGGTTGAAGTTCAGTTTCGGTTTTTCCGTCCGAATATTCTGAAGCTAAGACCTGGAGCTACGACGTGCCTTCAGAAAGAGGAGTCTCTCGTTTAACTCACTCACATTAGGATTATGGATGAATAGGCAGGAACACAGAGAAAGGAATATTGGGGATAACAAAAAAAAATAACAGATTCTAAAAGATGAACTTTCCATATGAATACTCTAATTTCCTTTTGGAAATAGACGAAGTTACATTTTGGGGATTGTAACTTGTGAATCCGTTAGATTCACCATTTACAGACTCTCTCATTCATGGTCCTTAACTACATGCTCAACAGTTTATATATATAAAAAAAAAACCATTACAAAAGTTACTGAAAAGAGAAGGCACTAGCATTTGCACTTTGCACTTTGCAGGCTATTGTTTGAGACTGTTCTTCTTCAGCAGCAGAGTAATTAATTAATAACAGAGGTAAAATCATTTGCAATTAGTAGTTGACATGGAATGGCTTAACAGACTTTGAATCTTGAATAACTCCTGCCACAGATCCAGCTGCTGCTGCTATGGTGATTACCAGGCAAGCCATACTCAGAGTTTGGAGGCAGATCCATCTTGTGCTCCATTTTTGGATCTTCTTCTGTGAAATGTACATCTCGACCGGGAAGTAGACTGTGAGAGGCCAGAATCCCAATGCACCGAGCAGTCCAACGATGTCGTTGAAGAACGGGAGAAGCATGGAGATCGTAGTGGTGAAGATCACGAACACTGTCCTCCAAACCAACCTGAAGAGGTTGAGTTTGAAGGGGCGGAAACCCGGGATCGGGATCTTGATGTCTTTTGTGATGAATGGGCTGTCTGGGAATCGGTCCAGTGCAAATTTCTCGATGAAGGCGAAGAGGGGTTGGCAGAAAACTTGGTATGCACCTACAAGGTGGACCACGATGGCTACATTCGCTATGTCGAGAAGCCAAAATGGGTTGTAGAAGCCGAAACCGGTGAGGAGGTTGCCAGGAGCGGCGTCTCCAAAGGCTGCATACCCCATACAGCCACAGAGCGTGTAGAAAATTGTTGTCACTGCAACACTTAGAAGACTGGCCTTCTTCATTGTCTTGGCCTCTGATGGAGGGGATTTTATTGTGTCCTGCATAAAAAGTAAACCCCCAAATATTTCAACTCATAATCGGCACTTCAGGGGTTAAAAAGCATCTATACTCCCACCTAAGGAGATTGTGAGGTGTTTTTTTTTTTTTTGAACTAGGAGTCGAAGTTTTGCTCCCCTATACTCGGTGGCACCCATGTCCGCCCAAGGTCCGAAACCAAGTGGCACCCATGTCCGCCCAAGGTCCGAAACCAAGAGACATCAAGAATTTTTACCTTTAGTTTACCGGAAGGTTCGAACTTGAAATCTCTAAGCTAGTAGGATCAAGAGATGTCGAACCCTTGCCAACTGGTTGTTCCTCGAGGGAGCGATTCGATTGTAAGTTCTAATCTATCCACTTCTAATTCTAATTGTTATGAAGGAACAAGTTTAGGTTCGAGTCTCTAAACTGTGAATGTTGTATCTAGAGTAGGTCTTCAGACTTCCCCAAGCTTTCAATTTTACATCTAATAACTTGGTGCCTAACTAGATATTTTTTATTTAATTCATAGACCTATTAGAACACAATAGAGACTTATCGAAAGTTTACCTGAATTTCGATAAGGATGATGGAGAAAGAGTAGGCAAAAGCTATGTCACCGAGGGCTTGGAAGGTCCTCCATATCTTCTGGGTTTCTGTGACAGTGCCAATGCTAACTCCTGTAAGGCTGCCCTTGAAGTTTCCATTGCCTAAAAAACGAAACTCGAGTTAGGTTTTGAATTTGATTCAGTTGTGTAAGAGAGAAGAAGAAGTTATTATACCTGCAACTTGAATGATTCCAAGGGCGAGTCCAATTATGGAGTAAGTAAAAGACATGACAGCAGCCACAATGGAGAGCCACCATAGCTGATCAAAGTCTGGAATTTGGGAGAGGAAGATTTCCATTATACCAAATGAAACCATGTATGGAGTTCCCTCCATATGACAAGCATTTTTCCCTCCACTCTTGTGGAAGCAGTTTGATCTTTTTATTGCCCTGTTCAACAAAAACCAATAATACCCATTTAACAAAATTTCCAAAATTTTCAAACTCAAAACTCAAAATCTTGCCTTTTATACTAACATCATGCTTATGGATGAGGCCACCGTGTATCCAATCGCTACTCCAACAAGATTCACATACTGAACCACTCCACATAACTTCACCTTAAATCCACCTGAACCAAATACACTGAAAACGTAAGATTCAAACTCTATTTTTCATACATGTCAAAACATGAAATTCAAATTCCTATATGTCAAAAAAAAAAAAAAGAAATTCAAATTCCTTTATTTTTTAATCACCCAAAAAAAGATTTCTCCGCCTATTTGGTGTACTAAAAAAATTCCTCCAAATCGAAGAAAAAAAAAAAGAGAAAGTTTTTTTTAAATCATCTTTGATAATTTTTATTAATTTAATAACAAAAAATCAAAATTTGTGAGTCATCCACGTGTTTTTCTTACCGAGGTTGGACCTAACGGCGTCCATGTAAGTGTAGTTCCTCTTGCCGTCAACGGAGTCGCCGGAGCGGTAGCAGGCGGTGAGAAGAGTGGAAGTGTAGTAAGTGACGAAGGAGAACAGCAACATAGCGGCGGGGCCGGCCACCCACCCCAGCTGCGCCGTCGCCCATGCTAACGACAAAACCCCCGACCCAATAACGGCCGTTATGATATGAGCACTCGCCGTCCACACAGTCCCTGTTTTTTTTTTTAATTTAAAAAATGAAAAATAAAAAATCAAACCAACCACAAAACCTTCAGTAAATGCAATCTTCCCCACGACTCACCAGTTCTCTTGGGGCGGCCGTCGTCGTCGATGCCGCCGGCGCCGCCCCCGTGCGGCAGCGGTTGAGCAGAAATGTTGAGAGCTTGGTGGTGGTTGTTGTGAGCCATTGTTTGGGAACAAAAAAAAGGGGGGGAAATCAAAAAGCCCTTTTCAGCAAAAATTGAAATTGGCCACAGAGGGAAGAAAATTGTCTTTGTAAGTGAAATATAATGTCTCCAAGTCACAGGGCAAGTTTAAGGTTCTGACACTGAAAATGGGGCTTTGCTTTTCGACACTCTCTCCAAGAGTTGCAGAAACCCCAAATGAATTTGGTTTTAAAGACTCGGAGAAACAAGAAAGAAGAGAGAAAGTTTAATTTTTTTGTGGTGATAATGGCGATGGAGGAGACCTGGAGATGGGGATTATATAAGTGGTGGCACCGGAACACGAAGAACAGGGTCGGCTTCCACGTGGCCATCGGTGGGCCCCACTCACCATCTCCAAACTCAGTAATTTAGTAATGCTCAATTACAAAAATACCCTCCATCTTTTCGAAAAATATCTATATTATTATTTTTCAAAAGATGTTAAATGACAATTAACCTAGAAGCTTATCTGAGTAAGAAAATGTCGAATAATTTATTATTTTTATAGGAGAATTAATACAAAATTAAATAGACTATGTCCTTTTGATATGTTGCTCGTTTCAATTTTTTAAAAATAGATGTTTGCTAAAAAATGTGTACATTTGTTTTTTTTTTAATTTTAATGAAACTTAGTATAGGATTGGTATTGAAACTTTTAAAAGAATTGTGGTATTTTTGAAATAAAGTACAAAATTCAGTCATATATTTTGTAGTTTAGGCGTATAATAAAATAATTGGAATTTTTTTTTTTTAATTTTTGTTGCTTTTTCTCTCCTCACTGCTCCCTAACACTCGCCCGTCTCTAGTTCGAGCACCCACTTTTCATTAACTATAGGAACAGAAGACACTTCTCGAGATACGTTCTTAATTTCACCTTATTTATTTATTTATTTATTTTTCTTTTACTTTTATTTTGAGTTTTACCTTCGTCTCCAAAATATCTTCTCTTTTTATCTTTGATTCTTTACTGTATTTAAAAAAGTTTGATAGCTGACATTTTTTCCCCATTTCTTAAAATCTTTTTTATCATTGTCAAATTTCAAATATGTAGGATAGCTTATGTTTTATTTCTTCTATTACCTTATTAAATTTTAAGATAAAAAAATTTAAAATAATATATCAAAGCACGTGCAATGCATGTAAAATTTTTATACGAATTCAAAAAAATAATTATAAAATTATAAAAACAACATATTTATTAGTATGATATCTTGTTCGATAGAATCTAATAGTAAGATTTTCCGAGCTTAAGTTTAAAATGGACAACGAATCAATTAAATCGTAAAGATGGGAGAAGACATCCTAGTGCAAAGAAGGTGTGTGGGTTAACGATACTTTGGAGTTAAAAGATTTTTTTTGAAGAGGTGATTTTCGAGATTCAATTTTTTAGCTCAATCTCTTGAAAAGGATGCAATTTCATGTCAGTGGTCTTCTAGCTTTCCTTTTTAGCTCTTGAACTTTTTAGATCTTCATCTGTTTTCAAATATAGTTCCAAGTGGTGTTTGGTTATTAATAAAATTTTCCCAATTTCAAAAAGAAAAAGAGACATAAATTCAACTTAAAACCTATTAACGGGTCAAAAATTGGTAATTAATGAGAAGGGCAAAACAGGGAGTGAAGAAAAAAAAGCACTTTTTTTAGACAAGAAATGGTGAAATTGAAAGCGTTAAGTTAGGGCACATCTGTACAGTGCAGTGTACAGTAGACGCCAAATTCTTACCAATTTCCTAGTTTTCATCGCTTCCTTCTGCTTTTGTCTAAATTAGCAATCTCATTAATGATATTTACTGCTCTTTTAAAGTTCCTTTTTTCAATTTATTTGTTAGAGAAAAATAATGGGAGAGCCGAGAGGAAAGAGAGATTCAAAAAGATACTTTGTAATTAATAATGTAGCAGAAGAAATGTCCAAAATTCTATATATATATATATATATTTTTTTTTTTTCTTTTTCTATCCACCACTTATCAGTCTCTTCCTAAATTCAAATGTTTTAAAGTGAAAGTACTTTTTTATATAAGTATTTTTGGAAGAACCACAGTGTGCTTAGAATTTTCAAAATCCCTTATCTAATTATACCAAAACGAACATAGCTTAGCAGTAATTAACATATATTTCAAGAAGAAGCTGTAAATTCGATCCCTCATCTCTATCTCTATTGTACTAAAAAAAAATTTAAGTACTTTTTAATGGGTTATAAGGTTTATTTATTATTATTTTTTTATCGTGGTAAAAGTCAAGCAAACTCATTTTTTTAAAGAATGGTTATTGGTCAAAAGGTTGAGTTTGTATAGTTCGAAATCGAGGAGCTTAAATTTATATAAGGAGAAAATATGATTGAAACTTACCGTCCACATAAAGAAACATTAATGCCTAACCACTTATGTATCGGTCAACATTTTCAATTAATAAGTTACCTTATTAGGGCATGAAAAGTATTGCATAAGCCTCCTTTTGAAGTAGAACATTTTTTTAATAGAAAATTCTAATGCAAATTGGTTGCCATGAGAATCCTATAATTGTACATGACAGAATATGATTCTTGGTCCTTCATATAATCCCATCCTCCACGTCTCTCTTTCTTCTTCCCTCTCAATTGTATGATGTAGAAATTAAGAAGAGATAAATAGACAATATTAATTCATAACTTTTATTTGTCATTTCTATATAAGAGTTTTATTTTCTTTTTACTTCCTATGAGAATGCATGTGTTATTCAAACTTTTTCGTTTATATCATGTCTTTGAATTTTTTACAAAAATGCTTCGTGAGAATTCATTTCATGTCGACATATTTGTGTCGGTGTAAGAATATAAATTTTCTCCCTTGACGCTTAATTGATCAGTGCTCCAACAAAAATCTTTACTCAGCCATTTTATTTAATTATTTAATTGTATGAAATATTTATTTTATCTTTGCACTTATTTTTAAAAATTATATAAAAAAATATTAAAGATCGTCAACTCAAACCTAACTCAACTGGTTAAGATTATGTCTTTCTATCAAAAAGGTCAGAGATTCGAATCCCATCTCAAATAAATATATATATTTGAAGATCAATGAAAACAAAATCTACCATAAATATTATTTTTATATGTGAGTGACGGATAAAAGTGGCATCATATTCTTCTCTATATTAGGGATTTTTTAATGTCCAAAAAATGCTTGCTCCAATCCTTTAGGGTATAAGGGTATCTTTGAATTAATTCCAAGTCTTCTTCATTGCATTGATTGACCATAAGAAAAGGGAAAAATCACCATGGGATGGTTTCATTGGTAACCTTGTAATTTGGTAATTATTATTGTAATTAGGTTTTATTTAGAATCCAAATTTCATCATCATCTTCTTAATTCTTCATCTTTTTTTTTCTTGTTTAGATAAATTTCATCATTGTTAACTTCACTTTTAAAAGGTAAAAAGAGCAACACCATCCATCTTGGGTAGTCATATTTTTTTTTTTAATCATTTTTAGAACAAGTGGCAAATTATTTTATTATTTTCTTTGTCCAAACTTAGGTTAATTTACAAAAGAGTAGATATTTATGTAGGCCTAATTTATTATATTCGTTAATTTGAGACAGGTGTCCATATTTGGTGATCCTATGTTAAAAAAACGAAAATTATTTCATAGTACTTAAAAGGGGTATGATTTGATGATTTTTCTTTTTAGTTCTACAACATCAATACAAATTCCTAATGTCTTAATTAGCTATGCCATAGGCTTTAATTTGGACTGTTATATGATGACTTAATCACATCATATTTAGTTAATTAGAACAATTTAGTTCTCATTGATTTAAAAAATAAAATGATTAGGGACATCGAAATATATAATGAGACTGAAAAAAAAAAAACCACAAGTTGATATATTTTTTTTAAAACGCGATGCATATAAAAATCTTAGATATGATTTTTCTTTTGTACGACAAATGAAAATTTTTAATTTTATTATTAAGGAAAAAAAATCATGATGGATTAGAGCGAATGAGTTTAAATCATGGTGGCCACCAATTTATGAGTTAATATCCTATACAATCTAATTTGGGCACTCACACGTATCAAAAAAATTTATTATTAGAAACTCTAAACTACTCATCTGAGTTCGAACTTCCATCGGAAAATAATCTTTTCAAGAATTTAGAACTTGACCATTCAAAATTTTTTATTAAAAAAAAAATGGTTCACGTATTACACATTATCAAAATCACCCCAGCAAAACTTAGACTTATAAATATATCTAATCGATAAAATACAAGTACCATGTCGTTATTATGGAAAAGTTTTGACTCCTCATTCTAAATTTATAACATGTTAAAGTGAAAGACGACGCTACCCTTGTGAAATATAAAGAATTATTATTTATTAAAATAAATAGCTAGTAGCCTAAATTATATATATACACACATATATATACATACATCCAAATTTCGAGAGGAAAATGGTGACACATGATCACATACAATTTCAAGAGAGAAATCATGACACATGATCATAATATTATAAAAACAAGTTAAGGGAAGAAAATCGTTGAATGAGAATATATATATATTTTTAGTACAATGAATGACGGTGTAGATCTCGAACTCACAATTATTTGGTCAGAGATAAGTGTCATTATAGCCAATTGAACTATGTTCATATCGACATTAAATTTAATATACTGAAATTTATAGGAAAAGAAGTTTCGTCAAGAAAAGTATAAATAACCAACATGAACTTGGTATCTATCTCTAACCAGAAAGCTAAGCATGAATTCGAATCTCTCTACTTTATTTATTGTACTAAAAAAATAAAATTATAAATTAATAAATTTTCAAAAAGGAACCCGTGAACCAATTTTCAAATCGAACCATAATTTAATTTGTCACATACATCAATTTCAATGTTGAAGTATAAGACTTGAGATCTGATATTTTACAATTATGCATAGAAAAATATTTATTAGATGTACAAACTTTTGGATTATTGTTGTAAAAGTCCACATGTTTTTCAAACCTCCTAATAATTCTTTTAAGATGATTATGTCATCATTTTTCCAAATTTATTAGATAAGATATATGAAGGTCATTGATGATTGACCTGGAGAATTTTATTTCATTAATTCGGATAAATTCAAATAGATGCCTTTCTAGCTTTTTTTATGGGCCGCCAATTATGAAAACCACTGACAAAAAATTTTAAATTAAAAACAAAAACAAATATTTAGGTGTTAATCCACACTAAAAAATGATAGTTTTTTTTTTAATTT